CCCCCCCCCCCCCCCCCCCATCAGTGAATTAATCCGACAGTGGTGAAATCCCCATTACACTGCAAAACTTCGCTCTGTCTAAAGAGGGTCCACTAAGGAGTGCTTCTCACAGCCTGCAAGACTCAGCCGGAGGATTTTTGGTGGTTTGGGTACTTACAGGGCGGTTTCTGGCTTTCAGCGCTAACAGAGAGCAACGTCCTCTGGTCAAATTGCTGCCCTGACTTTAGATTAATTTAACAAATTGACATGCACTTTTTTTTTGGCGAGGGAAAAATCAATTAAAATGTAAGGAAAGTGCTTGAAACAGTGAATACTCTATTTGCTACTTAGATATGTAAAGACTGCTTTTACTTTTCCCTTTCTTTCCCCAGGAACCTAATGCTGCTTTTGTGTTCAGCAGCAGAGGGTGCTCTCACAGAGCAGAGGGATGGATGAAGGACAAAGAATTATTTTATTTTTTTTTTAAAAAGGTGGCAAAAATCTGAATTTTTAGTTTTTCTCAAATGATAACAGAAATTTTTGTGCACAATGATTGACAGGCTGTCATATTGTATCATTATGTTCAAAAGCAGGTGTTAAATATTTTAATTTACACTTTTAGGCCATTTTTATTCAATATAGCTCATGAGTTTAGCATCATTTACAGCTGTCAGTGCCATTTTTTTTAAAAGACAGTGTGCCAAGGACTTCAATTTCTGCTCTTCTCAGTCAAAGTCTGCCTTCCTGCTTTGCTTTATATTTGAGTGTATCTTTTTCTGTCGTAGTCGTTCACAGTTCATGTTTTCCACCCTAAAACAAAATGAAAAGATCTTTTAGCATATAAGGAAAACATTTAAATATTCAACTTTGAGCACAGTTATAATGGAGATTTGATGAGCCAACAACGGTCCACAAACAACAGTCCCTGGTTTTGGGATGCTACCCAGGAAAGCAGTTAAAATCTAATGGACCAGTGATTTTTTATTTTTTTTTTTTTAACAGAAGTCCAAATGAGTATGAAGATTATGTTTAAAGATGCTGCAAACTAAATCATGTAACAGGATAAACTGAATCCATCTCAAACAAAGGCCATTTCAATAAAGATACCTCTCTATGAGTTTCTGTGTTGTCTCCTTAGACACCACCTTGGGCTTCTCGGTAGCCTCCGTGACCATGGTTCTGATTTTTTCTAAACAAATTGCCAGATTCTTCATTTGGTAGCGACTCTCTTCGGAGTTCACAATCAGCTCACCAGCTCGGTTGATCTTATTCCTCTGCTACAGAGGGGAAAACGTGATGTGATCACTGAAACCTCGTTAGACCCGTCACGTTCTGTCTGAAAGTGTGACATTTAAACCTTGGCTGGAGGTGGAGGGGTAGTTACCATTGATGCCATTTTTTGTCTCACAGCTTCTGGAATCCAGTCAGCTGATGCCAGGTGGAACCGAACTTCTGCCTTGGTATTCACTGGGAGGAAAAACAGGATTTTTTTTTTTTTTCAATGTAATGGCTTGCCCTCCGAAGTTTTATGAGATAATTCAGTCTGTTCACTGCTGGCTTTGAACATAGGATGATTCCAGCATTAATTTTCTGAAAGATCACTTTTTTTTTTCTTGCTATATTTTTACATACCACTCTACAAGACAAACTCTAAAGTTTTATGGAGACCCTATCATGGTATTTGCCTTTCTAGACACTACAGTATTTATTGCTTTTGCCAGTCACTTGCTACCTTATTTTTAATGGCGATGGCAGAATAGGAAGTAATTTTAGTTTATTTGAATTAAGCTGAGAATTTATTGCACCATGAAGTTTCAGAATCCAATTGGCTTGTTGTATGTTTGATCAATGAAAACAGATCAGACAGAGGTGATGTTTCATGTGGCATGTGTAGCACCAAAGAACCCAGTAAGAGTGTTTCTAGGAGAATCAAATGTGTCACCACCGCTTGCACTGAGCACTATGAAGACTGAGTTTTGTTAAAATGTATGGTAATGATAATGAAAACAGTGTCAGGCAGCACAAAGATGCTCTTTAATTTCAAGTTCTCAATATTTTAGTGCAAAGTATAGAGAAACAGCTGAAGACTATTATTTTTCCTTTGAAGTGGGAGAACCTCTTCCTCACCTTTATTAACATTCTGTCCGCCAGGGCCACTGCTCCGGCAGTAGGACACGGTCAGGCGATCTGAAAGAGAAGAGCAGCAGCATGCTGACCCGGAGACCCCTCCCCAGCTGGTTTTGCAGTGAGCAGCAGGGAATAGGGATGATCCAGGCTGCAGCACTGTCCTGGTTTTGGCTGGGATAGAGCTAATTTTTCTTCTCAGTAACTAGAACAGTGCTGTGTTTTGGATGCAGTATGTGATTTGGTATGAGAAGAATGTTGATAATACACTGATGTTTTTGGTTTTGCTAAGAAATCAAGGACTTTTCAGCTTCCCATGTCCTGCCCACGTGCAGGTGCACAAGAAGCTGTGAGGGAACTCAGCCAGAGCAACAGACGCAAATTTGTCAGTGGAATATTCCATATTATATAATGTTCTCAGTCTATAGATGAGGGTTGGCCAGGAAGTGCTCTCTCCTCTCTGGGATTTGAAGTTTTGGGATTTTCCCTCCTCTGAGATCGCCAGCTGTGAACGGGCTGGGCATCAGTCAGCAAGTGGTGAGCAATCCCACTGTGCATCCCTCGTTTGTATATTCTATTATTACTACCATTACTGTAGTTATTATTTTATTTCAATTATTAAATTGTTTTTATCTCAACCTATGAGTCACCTTATCCCTCCCTCCGACGCTCCCCCCATTCCCCCAGGCAGGGAAGGGCGAGCAAGTGGCTGCGTGGTGTTTGGCTGCCGGGTTCAAGCCACGACAAGGCTGTGCCTCGGGGGCACTTTCACTCTGAGTTTAGCTCTGTGCATTGAGCACGGACTCCGTAGTCCGGAGCCTAACCCTCCTGCGGGCACCTAACCCAGGGCAGGCCCAGCCGAGCACCTTGGCCCAGGTCTGTTCCGGGGGGAGACTCACCCAGGGGGATGTCGAGGACTGCCGGCTGCGCCTGCTCCTGGAAGAGACGGCGTGGTGCCGCGTCAGGCGCTGGGGCGAGGCCTGGCCCCGCCCACCCGCGGCGGCACCGCCCCTTCGCCTAAGCCCCGCCCACCCACAAC